AAAACTCAAAAGAGGTGTGGAGTCAATTTACAATTTTAAATTATTATTTTAATAAATATAGAAACTGTGTCTAAAATAAATATAAAAACAAATAAATATTTAGGGACATTTTCTTTTTTATGTGTAATGAGCACAAATATTGTCTATTTGTAGAATAGGGATATATCCTATATAACCATATAAAAACCCATTTTGTACTAAAAGGGCTTCAATTTACTCATTTTATACAAATGATTTCTTGCAAGACAAATGTCATGTCACCCTCTTGTGGTGCAACTGTTTACCAGGAATACTAAATGTTTTTAAAAATAAAGAATATTCCTAAAAATACTGACGTATGTAATTAAAATCACAATTTGTGATATAAAAATAAATATTATACAGTAATATTAAAATTTTAAAAAGCCTAAAAACTGTATTCTATGAAGGCTTTAATTAACAATTTTTTCATATATATATATATATATATATATATATATATATATATATATATATATATATATATATATATATATATATATATATATATATATACATATACATATACATATATAAATTTTTATATTTATAATATAAATACATATATTTATATTATAAATATAGCAGATATATCTAAAATAAATATAAAAACCAAAAACAAATATTTCGGGACATTTTATTTTCATATAGGAATAATAAGAACAACTATTTTCTCATTTATTGATGTAAAACTTTTTTTTAAAAACTTGGTAATGTGCACTTTCAAATATTTGTTTTGTTATATAACCACATAAAAACCATTTTTGTCCTACAAGTGCTTCAATTTACTCGTTTTAAATAAATTAATTCCAACAGGAACAGTTTTTTGTCGCCCTCTTGTGGCGCAAAGGTTGCAACTACAACTGTTTACGAGGAATACTAAAAGTTTGGTAAATAAAGAGGATTCGTGAAAATACACCATTGTAAATACACACACAATTTGTGATATAAAAGTAAATATTGTACAGCAATATAAAATGAAAAAAGCAAAAACAACTGCATATTATAAAGGCTTTAATTTACGAATTATAAATAAAACAATTTGACCAAAAACAGTTTACAGTCTCCCTCTTGTGGTGACAATGAGCAACTACAACAGTTTGTGATTAGTAAGAAATCAAGGCTAACAATCTAAAGAATTTGTTACTTTTTCCAAATATATCTATCATAAATATAGAAAATATATCTAAAATAAATACAAATACAAAAATAAATATTTAGGGACATTTCCCCCCCACCCTCAGTATAAGTATAATCAGCAAAACGTTTTTGTTATGTGGACGGATGTAATTAAAAACAGAATTTATCAAATAAAAGGCACTATATGGGCTTCAATTTATTCTTTTTAAATAAATAAATAATGACAGGAACAGTTTCTTTTCGCCCTCATGTGGTGCAACGGTTGCAACTACAACTGTTTTCAAGGGATATTAAAAGTTTGATAAACAAAGAGGATTCCTGAAATTACTGACACATGAAATTAAAATCACAATTTGTGATATAAAAGTAAATATTTTACAGCAACATCAGTTAAAAAGAAACATAATTCAATACTATAAAGGCTTTAATTAACTAATTTTAAATATAACTATTTGACCAAGAACAGTTTATAGCCACCCTCTTGTGGTGATAATGAGGTGAAAAAGTTTCCAATTGTTTTATACAGAAGACTATAAAAAAATAAAATAAAAACTCAGTGATATGGACTTCTTAAGTATTTGTTCTCTATATGAATATATCAAGACTAATGCTTCAATGTACTAACTTCTACCAAAAACACTTCACAGCCTCCCTCTTGTGGTGACAACCAGGAACTACAACATTTTGTTTTTAGTAAGAATCACGGCTAACGTATCAACCACGTATCTAAAGAATTTGTTTCCTAATTTCCCCCCCCCAAAAATATAGAAAATATAGCTTCTATAAATATATAAAAAATGTATTTTTATGGACATTTTCTTTCAATTTAAGTGTAATAAGCACAAATATTTTCCCATTTGTTGATGTGAAGAATTGTAAAAAAACTTGGTAATGTGGACTTTTCAAATTTTGTTTAGTTACATGGCCATATAAAAACTAATTTTGTACTAAATGTGCTTCAACTTACTCGTGAATAAATTAATTGCGTCGAGAACAGTGTCTTGTCGCCCTCTTGTGGTCCAATGGTTGACACATGACACATGTAATAAAAAATCACAATCTGTGAAATTAAAAGTAAATATGCTACAGCAACATAAATAAAAAAACAACAACATTATTTTATACTTTAAGGGCATACATTAATAACCTGACAACAGCCAGATGCATGTCTCGCTCCGCCTGAGCGAGACATGCATCTGGCTGTTGTCAGGTTAATACATTAACTAATTTGAAATAAAACAATGTGACTAAGAACGGTTTACAGCCTCCGTCTTGTGGTCATAATTGGGAACTACAACAGTTTGTGATTAGTAAGAATTAAGGCTAACATATCTAAAGAATTGGTTTCTTAATTATTATTTTTTTCCCCATTATTCACTAGACACATTAGATTTTTAAAATAAACATTGCATGTCTGATGGGAACTTTTTCACAGAGAATTAAATATTTATAGTGAGATGATTCTACAAGTCAGTTGACAGGGCATGAGAATGAGATTACTTGTTTTTGCTATGTTTAATAGGAGCAAGATGCTAATCATTTTATTTTTATTTAGTTATATTTACAGTACATTAAGAACTACTGAAATTATTTTCAGATTACACCTAAAAAGATTCATTAATTTCACGGGGTAAAGGGAATCACTTTAGGGTTAGGATTCCCTTGAAAATAACAACCTAATGAGCCTACTGGCACAACCTGAAGGAATTCAAGGGACTGATGGCCACTTATAATGTCCTTTGTCTGCAAACAGACACTTTACTGTATAAAAGGAGACTCAATCAACATGAGGAGGGACGCATGAGATGATTCACAGGTTCTAGATATCAGAACAACGTTTTTATTCTTCAGCCTCACCTGCTGCCAGAAGATTTCACCTAAATAAATACATTGATGTACTACCATTCAAGAATATTCCTGTAATATTTTCACTGTAACAACAGGCCGTTTTGATATGTTCTAGTTTTACTGAATATGTATTCCTGATATCTGAAAAAAAAACAACATTTTTATTTGTGTAAATGACCATTTAAAACAAAATTAAACTCTCCACATCTAGAATAAACATTCTGAATGTCTAGAAATTAATTTCAGGTCTGGTCAGCATTTAGTTTTCAGTCAAGCTGATAAATGTCAGAATGGCCACTTAAAATGTGTAAACATTTTTAGATATATAAAACGTAATTATTAATAGTATCATTTTATTTTTGTTTCCCGTTTCTGCAAAAAATAAATAAATAAATAAATAAATATATATATATATATATATATATATATATATATATATATATATATATATATATATATATATATATATATATATTATCACAATTAGGACTAAGAGTGTGATTTTGATCATGAATATTCTTATGGTCTACGAATAGAACAAGAGATAGGAGTGCTTTTAGTAAATGTAGAAGCGGCCTGCCATAGACACTTCATATAAACTTACTCATTCACTAGAGCAACAATCTTCTCCGTCGCCTTTGCATTTCTGCATTATAATCTCTAGTTTCAGTGGGGTGAAATAGGCACTTCTTATTGCCTGTTGTCATGGTGACTCGTTGAATTGGTGCTCTGCTAATAATGATTGTTGCCACTGATAATAACTTTTCATACTTTCATACGTGTTTAACTCTGATTGGACCTAGTTAAAATTGACTGAACTAATTGATAGCAGCCATTGTGAAACCGAAACTTGGCTAGATCAACTTATTTGAACCTGAATTTGTTAAAGACCTCTGAAAATACTGACAGATGTAATTAAAAACTGAATTTATGATATGAAATTTAATATTTTTGCAGCAATATAAAGTTAAAAAGACATAATTTTATACTATAAAAGTGTTAATTAACTAATTTTAAATAAAACAATTTGACCAAGAACAGCTTATAGTCTCCCTCTTGTGGTAACAATGAGAAAGTACAACAGATTTTGATTAGTAAAAATCAAGAATATTTTATTGTGATCATTCAACCAAAATCTTAACATATCTAAAGAATTGGCTTCTTTTTCAATTTCAAGCAAATTTCTCTATATTAAATATAGCAAATACATCTACAATAAATATAATAAATAATACAATATATATGAATTTATATTTATTGCATTTTCTTTTAATATATGCATAATAAGCAAAAAAATTCTCACATTTATTGATGTAGAAAAATAGAAGAAACTCTCTTTATATACGCTATCGGTCATCTGCATAAATATTATCAGATCAATATAAATTACTGTCAGACCTAGCCTTAAATCTACATATGTTTATATGCCTTAACTACCATATGACCAGGCAATATGTTTGTTCCTTTTTGGGTTGGGGTATTTAAAAATATTGCTCACTATTTGTTATAAGTTATTATAGGTAATTCTACATTAATTACTAATGCACTTATTAATAATCTTACACCAACTTCATCAGTTATAGCTGGTTCATCCATTATTAATTCACTCTATTTATTTTTAGTTTTTTTATTTCTTTGAAACCAAAAACAGTGAATTGATTGTAACGGTTTATATCCTACATGATGCTCTATATATGTGTTTTTAATATTTTTAATTGAATAGCAGAACACCAAATATTCATTATTCACCTTTTATAGACTCTTGCAGATTTAAGACTAGTTTGTGCAGCACTGTCTCAGTTTAAATCTGTGTGCATTAAGAAATGTGGGAACAAAGGATGCTTCATAGCACCCTCAGCCCCCCTTTAGCACCTGCAGGGAAAAATCTCTGGAGCCGCCATTGGTTGCTATTAATTAAGGGTTTCTTCAAGTGGATGTGAAATGTGACTCTGGCTCCTCTCCTCCCTGTGGTTTCCCTCTGACCACGCCCCCTTATGGAAGCAGCCATTGCTTTTCATAACCGGGGGGGAGACATTTACTGAGGAATGCACAGTTCCCATGATTTAAAACGCTCCATGAGAGCAAACATGCTGCCGTTTCAAGACATCTGAAACTCAGAATGTAGCGGGAGAGGCACTAACTCATGAAGAAGGTAATGCTTTATTTCTATCCTCCATCTTTGATTATTATGAATGCTACATCTGGCTCCCGGGCCGGAGGCACCCTCCGCATCCCCGGCAGGGTGACATAACGTCGGCTAGGGAGTTCATGGAGAACCGGGGGATACTTGTCCTCAGAAAGCTTCCGCGGTTTTATAAATTATCTCTTACTGAACAGCAGCGATTTCATTTCTATCAGTCTTAAGGTTTAGTTTGGTACTGAATGCGGTCCAGACATACAAAGATGTAGCTACTTTTTGACGCTGCTTTAAAGCTACAGTGTGTAATAATTACAGGCATATAAATTCAGAAATTTAATATATTATACATAACTATGTTATTTATCATCACCTATGAGCTCAGCCTTTTAACCATAACATTTGCGTTGCCTTAGAATTCGTTATTTATAATTACATAGGAGCGGGTCTCGCAGCCATGGAGGCTCACATCTTTGCGCTACGGCAAGCGCAGAGGCAACAAACTAGCGATTGCGAGATCTCCCATGACGCTCGAAAATAACTACGGCAAGTTGAGAGAGATGAACTGAGACGGTACTGAAGAGTAGATGGCAGTATTATGCCTGAGAAGCGTTTAGTCTGCCTGAAACCAAAGAAGAAGAAGAAGCAGGTATACTGCGCCTCGGTAACAAGAAAGGTAAACAAGGCGGCAGGCGTGAGTGACTTTGCAAACTGTTTGGCACTGTGTGGCCAAACATCAGACGAATGGAGGATCATGCCTACTCTGTATCACAACGAAAAGCGGCGGACACTGAACCCCCGTCATCTAAGAAGCGGAAACACAACGAGAATAAACGCAAGCGTGACAAGAAACGACAAAAAACACGGATCAACATTGGCACGGCATTTACACGATGGAAGTCACTGATGGAGGAAAAAGGTTTTCAAAGTGACGCTCAAGTTGCCAGTTTTCTCTTGGACAGGTAATTAATCCTATACACACAATTGTCTAATATCACTGCAGTTTTTGGAGTACAGGATGCTCAGACCTGTCTAAAACAATAACATGCTGCGTGATGGTGCTGTTACTCTCCAGTATACTTATTCAGCAACGTCCCTGACGTTTCACAGGTAATGATTCAGTAATTTTCTGTAAAATAATTTTCTGGATATATACCTCGGTTACTTCTCTCCGGCTCCTTTGGAGATCTTCAAGCCTTTCCTCCTCTGCTCTCACCCCGCTGGCTCCCCTCTCTCGCCTGGCCCCAGCTGCACGCTCACCCCGGCCTCTCTGCCCTCTTCCTTTCCCTCTTCCTTGCCTTGTAACCCCCGTGCCACAAACAAGACTTGGACTCTGTAAACGGGGAATATATATTCTTCCAGCGAACACAATCTCGCTGTTAAACTAATGACTACAATTACTTCGTCTGTTTATATCACCATGCAAAGCAGCTCACCAAAACGTCACAACGACGTAGAAAAAATAACGGGTATATTTATTATCTTAAGTCTACATGAAATCTATACCCTACACAGACTAATGAAATACTATCTGTAAAATTATCTATGTAAACAAACCTCATCACTTGAGAAGGTAGGTGATGCGGACGTCGTGGAAGACATTTTGTCCCGTAACGCTCGCCGTACTGTTGGGGGGGAGAAGCGGTGGGGGGGAGACGTTCATGTTGCTGCAGTCTGCAGTCTGACCGCTAGATGTCGCTGAAAATTACACACTGTAGCTTTAAATGGTCCAAATATATGCAGAACCGGTGTTATGCCAAAATATGTGACCCAGCAAATATTGTGATTCCAGCGCGTGCTGATGCGGATTCTCTATTTACTAACCGTAAGGTTACAACTAATTAATTCACTAAATTGATAACTAAACACTAATTCACAAGACTAATGTCTGAACCATAAATAAACAATGGTGAAATAGATGTAGCGCCTCGGGTCATAGTAAATCACGGGTCACAGAATATGATGTAACACCGCTCCAAGGCATATTCACATCAACCAGCTACTCAGGGACCCCCCAGCCCTCATGCATCAACGCATGGGCGGTTCTAGATGGGGGCCGACAGGGTCCGGTGACCCCTAAGAGCTGATCCTGGCCACTGGTCCTGTTTTTTTTTTTTGTTTGTTTTTGTTTTGTTTTTTTAAAGATTTGTGTAAATTGTGTCTTTGTCATGATGTACATGGAGGAAAGAAAAAGCAACATTGGCTTCAAAATTTGTCCCTCCTGAAAATTGGCAGCACATATCTGTTAAACATGTAAAAACATTACAAAACTCTTATGGTTCAATCTGGACTATAAACAGCAAGATGTATAAAGTTTTACTACATGCGCAGCTAACCAGCGGTGTTGTAGAGGGCCGCACTGGATTAATCGGTGATTTCATCATCTTTCAGACGCGCGCTTCAAAACACTCCAAGCCGCTTCTTGTAATTGCAATCATCAATTTATTCCATTTGGCCGTCATAATCCAGACTTTACATTGACTGACACATACTGACCAGGCTAAACCTTAATATGATGCCAAAAATAAAACAATATAGCACGGTCAACAGAAATTACCACCACCACCGGTGCACCCGCTTTCTCATTCATATAAAATTCAGCGCCCACCTTAGACACACCCACCATCCAGCTGTTAAAGCCATGTGCTGCTGTCACATTAGTAATTGCTTATTTTGATTATATGGCTCTTACATTTACTACCTTTGAGGCAAGTAGCAGCCATCTTGAATGTGGAAGTTGGGTTTAGTTGTGTTTCCTCGACTCTCTCCTTTGTAATTCAGATCGGAGCGGTCTGGATTATCAGGTTAGTTGAAATATACCAGTTGGAGGTTGAAAATTCCCACTTTAGAGAGAAAGCATCATAAGTAGACCTTTACAGGAAACCAATGATTCTAAGAGGCTGCTAAAGCATGGTCATGTTAGCTTCTCTAAGCTCTGTTTGAAAGAATCTACCGTAATGAACAGCTGGAATTACCTCTGCAGGAAACACTGTTTAGTTTTTTACTCCTTGGACTTTCCTTCAAAGTCCCATCCTTCAAAGGGACCCATCCTTCAAAGTCATTGAATGTTTTTTTTTTTTCAGGTTTAATTATTTGTCTTTGTTAAGCTCAGGATTCTAGTGTTTTTTATAGAAACCTGTTATTCTAGTCTTATCCATTAGATACTACTCATCAAACATTTAATTTTTAATTGTTTTTTAATGCTGCTTCGCTTCCTGTCCCATCAGGTTATGGAGCCAAACCTTCAGTGTTTCATCGTTTTTACCCTTTTTGGCTTTGTCCTAACCTCCTTCAATGAGCACCTCCATAATGGGACCAGCCACTACAGTTACTGTGTGCTCGGAGCTGGACCTGCTGGTCTGCAGATGGGGTTCTTTCTCTCCAAAGCAAAGAGGGACTACATTATCTTGGAGAGGAACTCTGGTCCCGGGAGCTTTTTCAACAAGTGAGAAGCTTTACTACAGCTCTGGTTTTAAAGTAGAAAGTGGTTCAAATGTGTCACATTGTACCATTTATTTCGTTTACAGATATCCCAGACACAGGAAGCTGATTAGCATTAACAAAATCCACACAGGAAGGTCTAATCGGGAGTTTAACCTTCGACATGATTGGAACTCTCTGCTGAGCGATAGACCTGACCTGCTGTTCAGGAGGGTGAGCGAGGAGTTCTACCCCCCCGCCGACGCCTTCCCTCGGTACCTGTCCATGTTTGTGAAGGAGCTCGGGTTGAAGGTAAAGTACGGCGTGGACATCGGACGGATCAGGTCCATGCCGTCGGCCGCAGGAAGGAGCTACATCCTCACTGACCAACATGCAGCAGATTACTCATGCAGGTAACTGAAAGGAAAAAAAGCTATTTTGTTTTTTTATAAATAAGAATCTAATTTTATCTATCTAATCTAGTTTTATTTAACCCTGCTGAGTTTATATGTCATCGCAAGCCTTGTCACATATTCTGAATTAGATATACACTCACCGGCCACTTTATTAGGTACGCCATGCTAGTAACGGGTTGGACCCCCTTTTGCCTTCAGAACTGCCTCAATTCTTCGTGGCATAGATTCAACAAGGTGCTGGAAGCATTCCTCAGGGAGTTTGGTCCATATTGACATGATGGCATCACACAGTTGCCGCAGATTTGTCGGCTGCACATCCATGATGCGAATCTCCCGTTCCACCACATCCCAAAGATGCTCTATTGGATTGAGATCTGGTGACTATGGAGGCCATTTGAGTACAGTGAACTCATTGTCATGTTCAAGAAACCAGTCTGAGATGATTCCAGCTTTATGACATGGCGCATTATCCTGCTGAAAGTAGCCATCAGAAGTTGGGTACATTGTGGTCATAAAGGGATGGACATGGTCAGCAACAATACTCAGGTAGGCTGTGGCGTTGCAACGATGCTCAATTGGTACCAAGGGGCCCAAAGAGTGCCAAGAAATATTCCCCACACCATGACACCACCACCACCAGCCTGAACCGTTGATACAAGGCAGGATGGATCCATGCTTTCATGTTGTACACGCCAAATTCTGACCCTACCATCCGAATGTCGCAGCAGAAATCGAGACTCATCAGACCAGGCAACGTTTTTCCAATCCAAGCATCCAAGAGATGCTCTTCTGCCCACCTTGGTTGTAACGGGTGGTTATTTGAGTCACTGTTGCCCTTCTATCAGCTCGAACCAGTCTGGCCATTCTCCTCTGACCTCTGCATCAACAAGGCATTTCCGCCCACAGAACTGCCGCTCACTGGATGTTTTTTCTTTTTCGGACCATTCTCTGTAAACCCTAGAGATGGTTGTGCGTGAAAATCCCAGTAGATCAGCAGTGTCTGAAATACTTGGACCAGCCTTTCTGGCACCAACAATCATGCCACGTTCAAAGTCACTCAAATCACCTTTCTTCCCCATACTGATGCTCGGTTTGAACTGCAGGAGATTGTCTTGACCATGTCTACATGCCTAAATGCACTGAGTTGCCGCCATGTGATTGGCTGCTTAGAAATCAAGTGTTAACGAGCAGTTGGACAGGTGTACCTAATAAAGTGGCCGGTGAGTGTATATCTGGTCTTTGACTAGACCATTCAGCTAGGGATGTCTTAATCTGATGTTGTTATCAAAACTCAGTCCAATATCAACTAAAAAACAAATATATCTAATACCTGTATCTAAAATGTCCAATATAAGCAGATAGAAACACCTGCAGTATATGGCAGTAAATAAAGTATTTATCAGTCAGTACCAGCTTCGTAGGCATTGTGTTTTTTCTTTCTTAAGGAATCAATTATATCAGTAGAATTATGCAACCTACTATCATAAAGATTCAATAAGTATGTTATTATGATACTGCTAAATGGAAAAATTCTCCTTTTCTGCCAATGTTTTCTTTAAATGTCCCAAAGTTGTCAGTTCCAGGCAGGTGTCGGTTCCTTTTGCGTGTAATAATCTACAGAAAAAGAATATCCAATCGTGTAAAGTAGCTCTGAATGGGGGTGTAATCTTTAATAGAGATGTCCCGATCCAGGTTTTTGCACTTCCGATCCGATACCGATATTGTTTTTGGACTTCCGATCCGATACTGGCCGATACCAGCCTATCCGAGCATGTATTTAAGTTTAAGTTAAAGTATTTAGCCTTAGTTGTAAGACTCATGTTGAAAAGGGTTTTAGTATTCTTGATAACATCTAGCCAGCTAAATTAGGTGAGATTGAATAAAACACAATGATTGGTAACAACAAGCTTACCTGTTTATTAAGAGATAAACACAAACTGGACAAAATTATGAATAGCAATCTGAAATTGCACAGTGAACAGTAAAACCGTAAACAGTTAAAGGTGCAAGTATTACTGTAAGTTTTAATAAAAATGCAAAACAGGGAAACACTGGCGCAAAAAAGTGGAATGGATCGTTTCAATCGGCGAAACTGGAAAATACGGACCGGATTTTTTTTTAAAAACTGGATCGGCATTTTACCTGCTTTGCCAATATCGGCGTGCCGATCCGATACGTGGAGCGGATCGGGACAAGCCTAATCTTTAATGACTTGATTTTCTTCCATCAGAAAGTCAGATATAAAACTTAAAAACCTTTTTCTTGCCAAACAACATACTAATCCACAGTTTTCAGTCGCTACGATTGGCGTGTTTGGTTTCACAGCATTCCCACAGTTTCTCAATGAAAGGAGTCTCCCTGTAGGTGGCTTTGAGGAAAACAAACAGCTTCTGCATCATAACCATTTCTCTTCTCCCCAAATTCTGACAAAGCGACATTTTCAAAAGTAATCCACCGGAAACAGCAGCCAATGAGAAGAGCTTACAGGTGCTGGTCATAAAATTAGAATATCATGAAAAAGTAGATTGATTTCAGTAATTCCATTTAAAAAGTGAAACTTGTATATTATATTCATACATTACATACAAACTCATATATTTCAGATGTTTATTTTGTTTAATTTTGATGATTACAAATGACAACAAATGAAAATCTCAAATTCATCATATCAGAAAATTAGAATATTACTGAAGACCAATAAAAACAAAGGATTTATAGAAATGTTGGCCAACTGAAAAGTATGAACATGAAAAGTATGAGCATGTACAGCACTCAGTATTTAGTTGGGCCTCCTTTGGCCTGTATTACTGCAGCAATGCGGCGTGGCATGGAGTCGATCAGTCAGTGGCACTGCTCAGGTGTTATGATAGCCCAGGTTGCTCTAATAGTGGCTTTTAGCTCTTCTGAATTGTTGGGTCTGGTGTATTGCATCTTCTTCTTCACAATACCCCATAGATTTTCTATGGGGTTAAGGTCAGGAGAGTTTGCTGGCCAATTAAGAACAGGGATACCATGGTCCTTCAACCAGGTACTGGTAGCTTTGGCACTGTGTGCAGGTGCCAAGTCCTGTTGGAAAATGAAATCTGCATCTCCAAAAAGTTGGTCAGCTGCAGGAAGCATGAAGTGCTCTAAAACTTCCTGGTATGTGGCTGCGTTGACCCTGGACCTCAGAAAACACAATGGACCAACACCAGCAGATGACATGGCACCCCAAACCATCACTGACTGTGGAAACTTTACACTGGACTTCAAGCAACGTGGATGAAGTGCCTCTCTTCTTTTCCTCCAGACTCTGGGACCTTGATTTCCAAAGGAAATGCAAAATTTACTTTCATCAGAGAACATGACTTTGGACCACTCACCAGCAGTCCAGTCCTGTTTCTCTTTAGCCCAGGCAAGACGCTTCTGACGCTGTCTGTGGTTCAAGAGTGGCTTGACACAAGGAATGCGACAGCAGAAACCCATGTCTTTCATACGTCTGTGTGTGGTGGTTCTTGAAGCACTCACTCCAGCTGCAGTCCACTCTTTGTGAATCTCCCCCACATTTTTGAAGGGGTTTTGTTTCACAATCCTCTCCAGGGTGCGGTTATCTCTCTTGCTTGTACACTTTTTTCGACCACATCTTTTCCTTCCCTTCGCCTCTCTATTAATGTGCTTGGACACTGAGCTCTGTGAACAGCCAGCCTCTTTAGCGATGACCTTTTGTGTCTTGCCCTCCTTGTGCAAGGTGTCGATGGTCGTCTTTTGGACAACTGTCAAGTCAGCAGTCTTCCCCATGATTGTGTAGCCTATAGAACTAGACTGAAAGACCATTTAAAGGCTTTTGCAGGTGGTTTGAGTTAATTAGCTGATTAGAGTGTGGCACCAGGGGCCATCAATTTTGAACCTTTTCACAATATTCTAATTTTCTGATATGATGAATTTGAGATTTTCATTTGTTGTCATTTGTAATCATCAAAATTAAACAAAATAAACATCTGAAATATATGAGTTTGTATGTAATGTATGAATATAATATACAAGTTTCACTTTTTAAATGGAATTACTGAAATCAATCTACTTTTTCATGATATTCTAATTTTATGACCAGCACCTGTATAGACGACATTCATCTCTGGCCTTATGTTGGGATGGCTTAGGTGTGAAAACCACTTTGGAAGACAATTGGACTTTCGCTCATTTCAAAGACACTCTGACACCAGTCTAAGGATGCCTTTCAATTTAGGTTATGCTGTGTCGTATTAAACAGGATATAGAGGTAGCAATTTCTATTCTTCTGTTTCTATTTTTTACCTAATTTCTATGGAAATACAAGACACTTAAACTGAATACGTAACTGAATATATGCCATGCCTACTGGCTATAACTTGACTTGGAATTAGATGATTTCACAAATGAGCTTTCTTTTAATCCACAAGGCCATTAGAATGGAGTTATATCTATGAAATTTACATAACTCCAACCACTCAGTGAATACGGTATGATGAAGCCAGGCTGAAGGACCTTTACTTTTATCCAATCAGCTGGGATAGAAATCATTAAATAATGGCAGATAAACCCAATTAGGAAGACTTGGAGGTTCAGCTAACATAGCTGAGCCCTGGTGGATTTAGGACATGGGGAAAAATATAACAATTAAGGTTGTTAAATTTTTATGTTTTGCTTCTTGATGAATAAGTACTGGATAGATTGTGATAAAACATACACTCACCTGCCACTTTATTAGGTACCCCATGCTAGTAACGGGTTGGACCCCCTTTTGCCTTCAGAACTGCCTCAATTCTTCGTGGCATAGATTCAACAAGGTGCTGGAAGCATTCCTCAGGGAGTTTGGTCCATATTGACATGATGGCATCACACAGTTGCCGCAGATTTGTCGGCTGCACATCCATGATGCGAATCTCCCATTCCACCACATCCCAAAGATGCTCTATTGGATTGAGATCTGGTGACTGTGGAGGCCATTTGAGTACAGCTAACTCATTATCATGTTCAAGAAACCAGTCTGAGATGATTCCAGCTTTATGACATGGCGCATTATCCTGCTGAAAGTAGCCATCAGAAGTTGGGTACATTGTGGTCATAAAGGGATGGACATGGTCAGCAACAATTCTCAGGTAGGCTGTGGCGTTGCAACGATGCTCAATTGGTATCAAGGGGCCCAAAGAGTGCCAAGAAAATATTCCCCACACTATGACACCACCACCACTAGGGTTGGGAATTGAAAAGATTTTCACGATTCCGATTCCCTTTTCGATTCTATGAAACGATTCGATTCTTTATCGATTCTTTTTTCGATTCCAATTTGGGGGAAAAAGGAGAACAAACAGTTTGATTATCAGAATCAACTTTGTTTACTTAACTATTGCACAATCTTACAAACTCAACAAGATCAAGATGTCCACAGGAAATGTGAAACTGGAGTAACATCTGTGTTTAAATGAAAAATGAATACAAGAACAAACTTAATAACCAACAATGTCTAATAACAAATGATGGGATAATAACCTATTTTAAATAACAAAAAATACTAATTATAAAACAGTAGTAGGGAAAATTAACAGTTCTTTTGCAGAAAGATGAGCATATCTGCTTTTTCTGGAAGGATACAGGATCTTTCAGGGCTTAAGGTGTCTCCAGCCGTGGAGAACACCCTCTCAGATGGGGTGGAGGAAGCCTGCACACAGAGGTAGTTTTCAGCCAGTCCAGATAGCAAGGGCAGCGTATCTTGCTTGTTCCACCACCACAGTGTGGCGCTATCCCTGCAGGGGATGGAGGGCAAGCTTTTACAGAGCTGGATTTCCTGATCTACCCTCTGGGCTAAGGAAAGACGGGGCTTTGATTCACAAAGTGACCGCAGCTCGTTGTCTTCCTCCTCGAATAGTTCTTCCAACTTGCGTAACTTGCGTAAGTTGCGTAACTTACGTAAAAAACGTGACGTAAGTCGTGCTCCCCAGAGCCGGCGCTCTAGGCTCTGTTGCTGCGGGAATCGAAAAAAGAATCGTTCAGCGAGCTGCCAAACGATGCCATGGAATCGAAAAATACGGAACCCGTTCTTAACAGGAACCGGTTTTCGATTCCCATCCCTAACCACCACCAGCCTGAACCGTTGATACAAGGCAGGATGGATCCATGCTCTCATGTTGTAGACGCCAAATTCTGACCCTACCATCCGAATGTCGCAGCAGAAATTGAGACTCATCAGATCAGGCAACGTTTTTCCAATCTTCTATTGTCCAATTTCGATGAGCTTGTGCAAATTGTAGCCTCAGTTTCCTGTTCTTAGCTGAAAGGAGTGGCACCCGGTGTGGTCTTCTGCTGCTGTAGCCCATCTGCCTCAAAGTTCGACGTACTGTGCGTTCAGAGATGCTCTTCTGCCCACCTTGGTTGTAACGGGTGGTTATTTGAGTCACTGTTGCCCTTCTATCAGCTCGAACCAGTCAGGCCATTCTCCTCTGACCTCTGGCATCAACAAGGCATTTCCGCCCACAGAACTGCCGCTCACTGGATGTTTTTTTCTTTTTCGGACCATTCTCTGTAAACCCTAGAGATGGTTGTGCGTGAAAATCCCAGTAGATCAGCAGTTTCTGAAATACTCAGACCAGCCCTTCTGGCACCAACAATCATGCCACGTTCAAAGTCACTCAAATCACCTTTCTTCCCCATACTGATGCTCGGTTTGAACTGCAGGAGATTGTCTTGACCATGTCTACATGCCTAAATGCACTGAGTTGCCGCCATGTGATTGGCTGCTTAGAAATTAAGTGTTAGCGAGCAGTTGGACAGGTGTACCTAATAAAGTGGCCGGTGAGTGTATATGTCTGAAATCTTGCAGCTCTTATGGTTGTTTGTTTCAGAAGGAACTGATGAGCTTTTCTTTTGGGGCTACAGTGGGTTTTTTTGTGTGCTTTGTTTACCTTCTGATTAAGCTGCCTATAGGTTTGACTGCATTTGGTGTCTGTAGAAGTGGCTTATATGAGCTTTTAGGTAAGATTCATACAGTTCTGTGGGTAATACATACAGTATAGGGGTGGAACGGTTCACAAAATCCACGGTTCGGTTCGATTCACGGTTTCTGGTCACGGTTTTCGGTTCGATTCGATACATGTTGATTGTTACACCGAAATTCCATAAAAAATTATGAAATTAATGAAAAAATCCCCCCAAAAATAATGGATTGTAATTATTTTAAATGACCCGCGGAAACCCTGGATCATTTCCGTATGTTTTGCTGCTTTGAATTTAATCATCTGGCGCGTGCTCTCTAACCTGACAACAGCCAGATGCATGTCTCGCTCATGTAGGCGGAGCGAGACATGCATCTGGCTGTTGTCAGGTTACATGCTCTCTACCATCTCCAAGGAACTCAGAGGGGAGCAGACGAAGCCACAGTGGGGGCTGTAGGCTTTGCTTTGAGCAGCCGGTCTGGAGCGCAGCGGGGCGGAGCAGGGGTTGCTGACGGAGTATGAGGGATTTCGGGGTTAGCATGACATGTTGCTGTTAGCATAAACAAAACGTGTTGCACAATGCTTGCACACTGTTGCACTTTTATCCACAACTTTCTTTCCGCCGTCATCGTAGGTCACTCTAAATGCAAAGCGCTCCCATACAGCAGACCTATAAAGTGCTGCTGGCGCGTCTTCCAACTCCTGTTCTTTCCCACTCGCCATTCCGACACAATTCTCCACAACAATTTTTTTCCCTGCTACACCCGGCTAAGCTGCTTCGCTTCTTTTTCTTCTTGTTTACTACTGGCGGTTGGCTTTGGTCGCAGTACCGCCACCTTCTGCTCTGGGGTGTAATCGCTTCCTCTATGAGAAAAAGGAGCAGCGCATGAACCGAACGAAACACACGCGAACCGAACCGAGACAGTCGAACCGAACGATTCTGACGGTTTTCATAAATCGTCCCATCCCTAATACAGTAGTAGCAATTCAAACTTTCCCCACTTTCCTTGATAGTCCCTTGCCTGGTCCCCTACAGTTCCTTTTTAAACATCAGTCTTTGGACTAAATGAGAAGTGTCATCTCCTGGCCAGACCCTGTAATTCAGTGAAAGGGTGGAGTCAGAGTAAAAAAATTAAAAGCCCAGGAGAAGGCCAGTGGGTGGAAGTTGGAGGGATTTGGCTGGGAGTCGCAGGGGAGTAGGCTGCATTCCGGCTGACGTCTTACTGGGAAGGGCGATTTTGAATGGCTGCTACTGTATGTCATGTTTAACTAAGGGAAATCACAATAATGAATCTAGAAAGGAAAAAAATAGATCTCCGCCCCGGGAACTTGGAGATGGGCTCATTAATCGTGATCCTTTTATTTATTTTTTTGCTTCAGTATCCTTCTAGTTGCCACGGGTCTGTGGGTTCCTCAGGAGGTGGAGTTTGAAGGGTCAGACCTGGTTGAGGGCTACGAGTCCATCTCCACTAACCCGGACGACTACAAAGATCAGGCTGTGCTGATCCTGGGGAAAGGAAACTCTGCTTTTGAAACCGCCCAGAGCATCTTAGGGAGAGCGAGCCGTCTGCACATGCTCAGCTCCAGCCCCGTGCGGCTGGCCTGGCAGACGCATTACGTCGGAGATCTCAGGTAAAGCAAGATGCTAAAACAAGGAAGGTTAATAAAGAAATAGATAAGAAGATGGGTCAAAAAGACACTTCTGTTCTATGTACCTTACCCAGAGCCGTTAATAACGAGCTGTTAGACACATACCAGCTGAAATCCCTTGACGGGCTGGTGGAGGCCCACCTGGAGGACATCGTTATCGCTAAACAGGAGGAGAGCAGCAGGAGGAGATCAAAGAGGAGGGCCAAGCTCTATCTGGGTTTGCAAAAGTACATGCAGAGCAGCGATGAGCGGAGTGGTTCCACCGTATCACGAGAGGAGCTTCCTGCGCATTACATCGACAACTTTCCCCTGCGGAAACCCTATGACCGAGTGATCCGATGCCTTGGATTCAGGTTCAACTTCAGCATTTTCCACAGGTACAGATAGAAATACCCATGGCTCCTGGAATCCAACATCTTTTGTTATTTTTTGTATTAGAGCATTGTTTATGTAAATCCCCTCAGCTCTGCGTGCCCACCACATAGCGAAAATGCAAAAGGGCGACTTCCAGGTGTGACGGCGTGGTACGAGGGTAAGAACACCCCTGGCCTGTTCCTTCTGGGGACTGCCTCTCACTCTAGAGACTACCGGGCCTCCGCTGGCGGCTTCGTCCACGGATTCCGTTACACAGGTGAACAGAATCTATCTTCTCTGACATTTGGAGTATTTATTCTTCAGTAGCCAGGCTTTTTTACAATGGCAACCATCATGGCAATTTATGTAATTTGAACAACCCCTGCTTCAGCCCGAGCCGTCCACCGTGTGCTTGAGTACCGTTACCATGGCAACACATGGCCATCGACGAGGCTCATGACAACGCAGCTGATGTCCTGGATCCTGAAGCGGGTGGGAGAGGCCTCTGGACCGTACCAGATGTTCGAGATGCTGGGAGACGTTATTCTTCTTCATGGGTGAGCAGATGCTTTCCTGGCATCCTGAGCAGACAGTTATGTAGATAAAAATGGAAAAAATTGTCGAGAATATTTAGATATTAAATATAAGTGCATGAGTAGAGGGTATGAGTGACCTGCAAGGCCTCGTAAAACAAAGATCCAGCACTCAGGTGTTGCCATAACAATTGTTGTTCATCCAACCATTTGGTCCACTTTATTTATTACCTATATATGGTGTACATTTACGACTTCCTCATGTCTCAGAGAAACTAATAACTTAAGCTACATTCTTGACATCTTAGAAATTTATTTTGGGTCATAAAAACTAATATATTTATTTTTTTAATCACAGTTTTTGTATTTGTCTTACTTTACTGTTCTTACTGTCCAACCCTGACAAATTTGTTTGACCTGCAATGAATCATGGGAAATGGCAGATTGTTGAAAATATTTAATCGAGGATGTAGAACTTTTAAGCTTAGATATCTGCCCGGTTGGTCAATATTTAACTGAAGCTCCGTCGTTTGCTGAAATCTGATATCTTTTGCGTTCACATCAAACACGTTTTAAGTGTCAGGATGTCTGGTTTCCATGCAAGCATTATGGGAGACATTGAGGATCCTTGAGGGGTCCAGCTGCATGAGCATTTCTTGCAGCAGGAGCAGCTTGTGTTGCACACTCAATCATCCCAGCAATGGAACTGAAGCTCTCAGTAGTCACTGCTACCACCATCTGGTTTAGGGGGGAATAGCTTGTTCTGCCAAATATCTGTATGTCAAAATATTAGAGGATTGTTAAAAAGATTATTGTATTGTGATTCTGATATGGATCGTCACTAGAGCTGAACGATTTTGCCCAAAATCTAAATTGTGATTATTTTCATCCAATATTGTGATTTCTATTTTATTGGAATTCTGCTTTGCACAAGCATGTAGATGTTTCGCCCAAGGGTTTTCTGTTTTTCATGTGCTTGAAAGCTAGCTTGTCCAGAGTCCATTGTTCCAGGACCTTAGTGAAACTGTTGCGGGATATTATTTCTAATATTCTGCATGGACCTGCATGGAAGCTGCAACTGTCTCGTCTCATCTGTGTGAAGATAAACCAACTTTGAAAATATAACCTCCACCTAAATGGCTGGAGGGATAAATGTAGTGTCTCTCTTTTTAAATTGACAAAATTTGAGTGTCTCTGCGATGTGAAAATTGCGCTTTGCTAAATTGCGATTATATTGCATTTGCAGTTAATTGCCTAGCCCTAATCATCATCAAAATATAGTGCCTCCAAAGAGCTTTAGCAATAAACTGTACCAAACAAAAGCACTGGGAGAACGCTGACATCCGCCAAGTAGCAGATTTTGCCCCATATTGTCACTTACACCTATAGCTAAAACTCACACATGATCTGGATGATTACCATATTTGAATGTATTGATCTTTGGCATGAGGCGCACCTCTGGTTAAAATTAATTAAAATCCATCCATAACTTACAAGTAATCCTGCTAACTTACAAGCTAACAAACATGGCTGAAAACATAACCTCCTTGGAGGAGGTAATAAATATAAATAGAGTTCAAACTTCACTGATTTCACATAAAAAAGCCAAGGGAATGTTTTTCTCACTGAACTGTGAGGAAATAGTTTATAATTCCTACACGGACTAATATATTCAAACTCTGTCGGCCAAAAATATTCCATCTTATATTCTGCTACTTGCAGTTTTTACCAAAACCCTTAAAAAAATTGTTGAAATTCCCTTCCATCCCCTACAAACAGCAGTAAAAATGTCACGGGGGACTCCCAGCACTGCCGCCCGCCATTTTTCGGTTTATCTGTTGCTCTGAACCAGAACATTAATAATCCTGATAAACTGCCTGCATAGAAGAAGTGTTCACTTTCTTGCTTAAAAACCAATAAAACTACTTTTTTCCAACCCATCAAAGCAGATAAAGTCGAGTTGCTCTCTCAATGGCAAGGGAAAGAACAGAGCAGCTCAATGGGCAGAGCCCCGAACACCCAGACTGTCTGATTTTTTAAATGCACAAGAGTCCAAGTTAAGGTGTTTGACGTTCAAAAGGCTCCATAAGACGTGACAACTTATTTCCTGAGACATAAGGATGTCCTAAAATGTAATTATTTGGTCAATAACAAAGGGTTCTCCTGTATGTTTTCTATACAGAGTGTCAGCAACAGCAGGGGCCTTTTAATGTAATGCAATTTTTTTGTTAGCTTGAACGACGTTCTTTATATGCGTAGGTGGGATGCAATTAGCTTGCCTCAATCTACAAAATTAATGATTTTTTTTTTTTCAGTTTAAATATTAAATGATCTTTTATTACCCAAACTAGAATAATAGAAAATCTTGGTTTTATTCCTCGGGCTTTAAAAATTTATAAAACCTGTTATGGCTCTTAATAAATTTTATTTTGTAGCAGTGGTGGCAAAAATGCCTCTTTGGATAGAAAAGGTTGCAGACACCTGTTGTAGGAGGAAGACAGACCTGCATGCACAGATGATGCAGATCACTCTCTACTCAACTCTTTAAGTTTTAGCAATTCCCCATCTATACCCATCTATAATTTCAGATTTTCTGTTTACATCTATGCTCCTCTTTTTGATGATCTTCCACAAAGAAAAAAATTCCAAATAAATTGTTTTCGAGTTTCAGATTTAAGGTGACGGTTTCGTTTGTCTTGCTCACTGTGCTGACCCTTGTCTCCTTCCCCTTTTAGCTCTCACTGCGAGTACGTCGAGGAGTTCCTGCTCCAAGCTTTGCCCCAGTTCTCCTCTCTGTCTGGCCACCAGGTGTCTAATCATGGACTCATAGTGGTGGTCATGCAGTATGGGAAGAAGAAGATTGACTTTCTTGGGCATGGCAGGGCAGAAACAGACTGGAAAAGAGCTTGGAAATCCAACTTTCTCCATCCGGTTTTATACTACTATGACTCCCTCCCTACAGGTATGGATGGTGCCATCTTCAGAAAGCATTTTCATTCTGACAGCTTCTGGGGATTTCTGAGAAATGTGGGTTTGTTTGAATTCTTATATAGAGCAAGACATGAGGATGCGTCCCCATGGCTGGCCTTTACCGAGGCCGAAGGCGATCCATCATATGGTTGAGGACTTCCTCACCGAGTGGGACGCTCCATTGTCTCACATCCAGCCGCTGCGGCGCTTCCTGGAGCATTGTGTCCAGACTGACCTGAGGGCATTTAGTGCAGGTAAAGCACCGCAGCAACTGATCTGTTCCCTAATCAGAAACATGTATCTTTAAAGTCCTACTAATTATTCAGTTTTTTTTTTTTTTTTATTACATCCTTATATTACCATTAGATCCATTTAGCTAAAACACATTCTGTAGTATAAAGACTCCAGTGGAAAAGTAGATATTTTCTTTAGTTTTTAAGATAAATACATACAAAGTACAATAAAATATGGATCTGAAAAAGGGAAAAAGCAGTACAAATAAATGTTAAAGATAGTTAAGTAGCTCCAAGCTAAATATCATCCTGTTCAAAGGTTTGCTGATCCATTTTTTTTTTTTTGCTTTTGTGCAAACATTCAGTTGGCATTTATGAGCCACACCCTCCACAAGCAAAATCCTCTCTGTCTTTTTATTTTTCTTTTAAGATTCCCTTTGTCAGTGTTTTATCCCCTGTTTGTGTTTTTCCCCTGCATTACAGAAACATGTTTCCGCTCAGCCCTCACACACCGTAAGGCCCCACTGTTTTGTCAGCAGGGGTATTTAAATCAGCACTACGGTCAGCGGCGGCGGTGTGTTAATGAAGCCGGACAGGTGCCAGCTGAGAAGGTCACTGCAGGAACATCATTGGGAGCAAACCCTTCACTTCCAAACTACCTGGCACCAGCTGGAGCATCTGTGTCTTCTGGACTGAAACTTGACCTCTGATTGTTTTACCCATCATATGCAAAGCTGTTCAGTTCTATCCTTATACCAGAGAACTTATTTTACCTGCTATCATTCTTGTAAATCTCTCAGACTATTTGAAATAAAGATATATTTTTCTTAATTGTGAGAGGGTTTAGTGTTAAAGACAAAAGTAGTTTTCAAACTGATATTTTTCTTTCTTAACCTGAATGTTGCAAATTATAATTAACACTGGAACCAACATGTTACTTAAGAGCTCCTTTGTTGTCGTTTTTTTAAAATAGATTTCTGTCTCTACATTGGAGTGTCTAAGATTTGCTGATAAAAAGCTACACAGCTGTTCACAAAATATACTTTAATCATATTTTACTTAAAATATAACATGAATAAAAGTTGATAACATGCAAAACGTGCCTTTCATCTGAATATAATCAAGATAGTAAAAAAACAGGTCTCACATTGCTGTTTTCAATAAAAAAAATGGAGAGAATGTATAAATTCAGGAAGATCAGATTCATCTTACTAAACTACAAAGGTGTGCTTTATTTGGTGATATTTTATACAGATATTACTTATATAAAGGGGAAAAGTATGGAGCAGTAAATGTAAAGTTTCTTAAGTAAATGTAAGTAAATGTGACTTAGCTAAATTATAATAAACAAGATGGGATACCATAACTATGTAGATGACACAGCTTTACAGCACAATGTCACCAGGTGACTATGAACCCCTCGGAGCGTTGGTTACCTGCTTAGAACAGATCAATATGTGAATGCTCCATCATTTTCTCCATTTGACGATGGAATCAGACCTGAATCTTTAGAGGAGCATAAAGGCACTTAATAAGTCAGTCTTTTATCCCCTGAAGAACATCTCCAGGATTAAAGGACTAATGTCTAACCAGGATCTTGAAAAACTCATTCATGCATTTAGTAGAATTGATGACTGCAACAGTGTCTTCATGGGTTTGCCAATAAAATCAGACAGTTGCAGCTAATCCAGAACGATTCTCCCAGTGTCCTCACTAGAACTAAGAAAGTAGAGCCCATCTTACACTGGTTCCCTGTAGCTCAGAAAATAGACTTTAAATCCTTCTGTTAGTCTGTAATTTCCCTCTGGGGTAATTAAAGTATGTCTGAATCTGATTAAATCACTGAATGGATCAGCACCTCAATACATAACAGATATGTCAGTGTGTCAACCTCCTGGACCATCAGGTCTTATAATTCCAGCCTAATCTGTACACCCAGAACTAGAACCAAACACGGAGAAGCAACATTTAGTTCCTATGCTCCATTTATCAGGAACAAAGTCCCAGAAGTCTGTAAAATTCTAATAGCCTAGATTCTTTTATGTCAAGGTTTAAAAAAAAAAACATTTTTTAGACTTGCCTTTAACTTTTGAAAGTAAACTGTTAACTGAGTTATAACTAGTTTTAGGTCCAACTGTGTGTCTTTTTTTAATTATTTGCTTTTATCTTGTTTGAATCTGTATTTCCTTTTATTCTGCTTTCAGTTTTCTTCTATTTCACTGTCTAATTCATGTGTAGCACTTTGAATGATCCCTGTACCTAATTGTGTCATAAAAATAAACTTGCCTTGCCTTAACTGGTTACACCCCACCTGTGTACCCAACATGTTTTATCCATGCTCTTTATAGTGCTAGTGTTTTTTTTTTCTTTTTGTGGGATCAATGCATTATTCTCAAAGTGATTTAAAAAATTTATACTATTTACTAATCAAAATAAGAAAAACATATTGACACAACACTCTTTAAATACCTTTAAAACTTTTTTTCTTCCAAATTTTTCAACAAACGTACAATATATTAATTTAATAAAACCTTAAATGTATGTGTAAAATTGTCGTTTCAGTGTTGCGAACACGTTGACGTACGGTCAACTCATACGCTCTCCGTACACACAGCTCATTGGTTAACCGCTGGAGCCTTCTGATTGGCTGCTTTGTTGAGTCGTTGCGATTGGAGTCCCACATATAAACATCACGGAGTCTGATTGGCTGTTATTGTTCTGAAGATGACCGCTGTGCAATCATAGCTTCTTTTACTACTTGGCTCTAACTGGATGTAAATTGTAAAATAGCTGACATCTTGGTATCGAGGAGGCGAAGAATTCGTGTTATTACTGTAGTTTCTAGTTATCTACGAGGAACCGCTTTACCATGAGAGCTTCGTGCAATGGCTCCCAACACAACGGTTATGATACATTGATGGCCCCGACTATATTCTCCTGAGAGCCGTGTTTCCTCCAAGCGCTGGCAGAACTTACCATAGTCTGTCATAAACGGAGCTACCTATGTGACTGTGAAACATGGACGGATGGAGCCCTGTCGTTGTTTCAGAAAATGACCGATCCTCTTCTGAGGGGGAGTACATGCTAGGGCAGAGACCTGGAGGTGAAATCCGGGAAGAGGTGGACGCACAGCCGCGTAGCGCCGCAGATGGGATGGAGGACGGGGGCTCAGAAGCAGCAGCAGCAGCATCGGTGGGGTTCGGAATCAGTGGGATAGGGGAAGGAAAAATGGTGTTGGGTCGAGTCGGACCGAGAGACGACAAAGAGCTCAGGTACTTGCACATTTTATGGGCGCCGGGGCGAGGCGAGTTTGATCCGGGTGCTGAATCGAGCAAGTTGGGAAAGATAGCGGTGAGCAGGAGCAGGAGAAACCAACGAGCCGTGCGGAACCTCGCTCCCATTGGGAAAGACATTTACGGTAGGTGGGCAATCCTCTGAGCAAATTACCTTTAGTCCTGGTTTAATAGAGTCCCACTAGAACCAAAACAACCTAAAAAACGCCTTACCTTAAACACGGAACTAAAAACGCGTTGGATCCACAAAATAAAACCAATCTGTCTTTGAAAAATATCCGAAACGATCAAAGAGAAACTTTGCTATTCATGGATATTATTATTAAACTCTTGTTTCTTTTTAATTATATAACTGAAATCAGGAAACAGTTACAGATATTAGAAAATATTTACATGCTTGCATATCTAGGTTAAATTGTAACAAGCATTGCAATTTACTGTGCTGTGGGACAGACTGTGCTCTGATAACAACTGCTTTACTGATATCCACACAAGATTAATGAATATTGATAATTTTCTTCAAAAAAACTATGATCCTTGAGGAACTAAGTAAGAAAAAAGGCTAAAATCACCCTCATTTACAGCAATCCAATGGCAAATCAGTTTACCTGCTGTTTTGTCCTGCTTTTCAATTTAAAATGTCCTACTTACATGTTTATGGCAAGTAGTGATCCCACTTTAAGTTGCACTAATTAAAAAATACCCTAGTTTATTTATGTGTTTTTTTTTAACAGTGTCCAGTCTGGCAATGTGGAAATAAGAATAATTGTCTTGATGTCGATAAGAGCCCAACAGATTTTACTTTCACAAGTGGAGCAGTAGGGCTATCGTCATAGTGTTCCGCATGTTTCAAATAAATTGCTTTATTATAATTATGCAGGGAGTTTTACAGATTATATGGACACTGCAATGTAAGTAGAACAGAAGAGGAAAAACAGAAAAAAGGAGAAAAGATGAAAGAAAGAGGAGATAAAAGGGAGATAATGATAAAACATGTTCAGTCTGCTTCATCACCTGCAAAGAGATGGAAAAAGAACAGCACAACCAACAGACATGGTACGAGAAATACAATAAAGTAACACCTAGATACTATCGCTGAAGTAGTATTATTTAATTGGACATGTACTCTGCGTTACCTGAAGATAAGAATATGGGCTTTCTGTATGGAAGTGAATCTCTGAGTACCTGGAACTAAGCACAGGAGACCCAAAGCCCCAGACGCCCAAAGGGACCCCAAGAGCGAAGGCACCAAGGAGGGGCCAGCCCAGGAAATGCAACCTGCACCAAAGGAGGAGGAGAGACAGCCCCGATGAAGTCCCCCAGCCACCACAATGCCGGAGCCCCTTAAATCTGAAATGCATTCAGATGCACTTAAACATTGAAATAGCCCTTTGATGTAGCGCTCAGATGAATCAAACAGCTTCATCCACCATCAGGAGTCACTTCCAATAATAACCTAAGCTGAAACTCTTTCTACAAAATAATACAAAAACCCTTATTTCGTTTATTGAATGAAAAAGTTGCGTTTTTTTAATTATCGGTTATTAATACATACAGTAACGTTTATATATGTGTAATTATTATCCAGTCATATTGTTTAATTGAGCATTTATTTACTTCTATTTTTTCCACAGCTGCTAAAAGATTGAGGGAAGCTGCCAACAGCAACGACATCGACACAGGTAGGAGGGATACATTTGAATGCTTTGGAAGCGGTGTAAAATAATGTTTAAGGTTTTTTTAAGTGTGTGTTTTACTTTTGTATTCTAGTTCGGAAGCTCCTGCAGGATGACACAGACCCGTGTGCTGCAGATGACAAAGGAAGGACGGCCCTACACTTCTCATCTTGCAATGGCAACGACAGCATTGGTAGTTTGACAACTTCTTTATTTGCCACTTAAATACTTTTGTTTGCTGATTACATGATGGAGAGCAAATAAAGATGTAAATTCATTCTCATATTTCTGTTGTTTTAGTGCAGCTGTTGTTGAGTTATGGTGCCGACCCCAACCAGAGAGACAGCCTGGGAAATACCCCTCTGCACCTGGGTAAGCGGCTCTCCTCCTGACCTGTAAAAGCTGTAGTTACTGTGGTCGCTTTCTTAAAGGTCAACTTTTACATGAAATGACAAAGCAGTGCTGTTGTTCTAAACCTTATGTATTTGGAAGTGTTCTTTTGTTTCTGAGGGTTCAGACTTTATCTGATTTCCTTTTGTGTTCCTGCAGCGGCTTGTACCAACCATGTCCCTGTAATCACCACCTTGCTCAGAGGAGGTAAGACTTTTTGGAAAGGAGTTAAATGCTTCAGTTTTACTTTGTAGAAAACTGAAAATCTGGATAATTTTCAGGAAATTGCTACGATTGTGCTGGACAATTTCCTTGGCATGATTACAGTTAAACCTGTTAAGACCATTAAGGTTTCAGATGGAGAACATTCCTAGCCTCGTGAGACCATCCTGATCTCGCGAGCTTTCAAGGTTTCACTCGCAGATCAGTCTGGAGACTCTCCGTTAAACAAAATTTGGAGCTGTCACCAAACGAACGTCCAGTCAGCGTTGGCTTTGAGGCGGGTTGAGGTGTGACGCAACGAGAAGCGCGACAGTTCAGTCTAAAGAACATGGCGGCTTCAGCCGATGAAACTAGTGTTGGCGTGGCTATCGAGCAAGTTTTATCTGAATTACAGAGTATTTCTTCTCCCGACTGGTTTCGGCAAGAGTAGCCTGGCTTGTGGTTGTGTTTTCGTCATCGCTCTGTTACGTCATATGCTTCGTTGATCTGATTGGTTTATTTGGCCCGTCTATCACCA